AATGATATACATTGGACCAGAACAGCCAAGACTTCTCAATACTGTCCAAAGCCTTTCTCTGTCAACAGTCAAATGCTTTAAAAAGTCGACTAAACATACATAGAACCTTCCACCAGGCTTGGATATATATTTTTGGACTAAAGACTGGAGTGAAAATATATGATCTATTGTAGAGTAATTTCGTCTAAAACTGGCCTGAGATTCAGGGATGAGGTTACCTTCACCACACCATTGTTGTAGTCTCCAATTCAAAAGAAATGAGAACATTTAGTAAACTAATGCCCCAATAGTTATTCACATCATTTACGCTTCCATTTTTGTGCAAACTAAATATCATAGACTTGGTCCACTCCTCTGGATAGTTGCCTGTGAAGAAAACTAAATTGAAAAGAGATAGGAGAAATTCAGCCAGGTCCCGGCAACCGAATTTGTAAAATTCCGGCGATAGGCCGTCAGGTCCACAAGCCTTGCCAAATTTTAAATTATTTTAGCCAATACAATTTCGTCTCTTGAAATGGGTGAATTTAACAAATCACCTGGCTCACTACATGGGGAGGCATGAGACTGTAAGGAAACAGATGCGTTCAAGCTGGTTGATTTGTCTTTCCTTTGGCGTTACCACCAGACCCCGAGAGGGGGTTTAGCAATTTCTCAAAATAGACATACCATTCTCTGGGTTTGATAGTATTCTTTGTTACCGGGTTTTTACATAAAAGGGTATTGACCTGTTTCCAGAAATCTTTCGAATTGCGCTTCAAACAATTTGACTTTGTAATTGTCTATAATGTGATTTTTTCAATTTACAAAGGTTTTTTAATTTCTTTTTCAAAACGAGATAGTTATCTAATACTTCATTTGAGTTCGAAACATGACATTCATTTAATGCATTGTATTTTTGCCTTTTTGCCTAGTAGCATTCTTTATCAAACCATGGAGGTTGGGAGGTACACTTTTAACACCTGTAGGTTGCATACAGTCGGCTGCGTTTTTAACACAATTATTCAACATCACAACAGCATCGTTTGTTTTACCTACATGGATAAGATCAGGTATTCATTTTGAACACATAACGGGTTGTCCTCTAATGCGTGTACATAGTCTTCGATGTATGTGTTGTTCCAAAAACATTTCTGGATATCATATAAAGGACACAAAACTGCTTGTTCTACGGGTTCACATTCGATGCCAGGTGTAATAAGCGTTAGACTAAGTGAGAAATGGTCAGGCTCTGATCTAGGGATTATTTTAAAGGCTTTAATTACAACCTGAAACCCATCCGTGCTTACAATGATGTAATCTACAACTGACTTGCCTTTGTTTGCAATGCAGGTGATGTTCCCTTCCTCGTCTTTTTTGGTTCTGCCATTCAGTATTTGAAGTTTGTTAATTTAACAAAACTCTATAAGTTGAAACCCAAATGCATTAGTTTCTAAATTTCGAAACTTACGAACCCAGACATCGAAATCCATATAATCTGAGATAAGATCGCAAGTGTCAAATCCATATTCAAAAGAAGCCACGTTATCAGGCAAAACAAAGTCATCCATAACACCGATCCCAGCTATCAACCGGGGGAAGTTTCCATATTTTACATTAATCGTTTCCCACCATTCACTATACTGGTCAACGCCTTTCAATAAAGTCTCACGCTACACAGGTGAGTATTCATGGGGACTGTAAACAAAGCAGAACAATACATCCACAGTTGATCGTAGCACACTTTTGTCTACCAGGAAAGAAATACATTCTTTTTCTGAACTTGTCAGACGCTGAAAAAAAGAAGCAAGTGCATTTCTAATCATTACAACAACTCCTCCACCAAGATAGTGTTGGCGGTATGAAAAGTATAGATGGTAGTCAGGGAACTTTGAAAGAAGCAGTTCTTTGGAACAGGCATTAATTTCATTAAACGAAACTATATCATACTGTGAACAGAATGAGATGAAACGATTTGGAACGAAGAGAAGGTGTGAGTAGTTCCTTTCACTCACTTAAAACTCACAGACATCTTCAAAATACTATGCCCACTTGATTTAGGGGGAGGGGGTGGGTTGTGGGCATGATAGTATATGCTTTGAAGAGGTCTTACAGAAAAATCAAGAGGCCGGATATAAAGCTGTACGACTTTTAAAAGATGTTGTCAAACCTGTCCAAGGCGGCCACCTATTGTCGAAGAGAATAGTGATTGTCTTGGTAAGGTGGATGTCTCCCACAGTGTCGCTATAATATTGGAGAATTTTTTTTAAACGCATCAACGGGTTGGGAGTGGTAATTGGCCGTTTGTACAGGTGGCTGTTTTAGACAGGACAGTTGGTAATTAGAGCAGGTTTGGCTGTTCTTTAAAAATGTTCTCATCCTGTTTGTTTATGAGTGACACGTGAGTGTTTGAGTAAGGGTACACACGTGGTTCTAACATGTGTCACGTCGAGCGTATCCTGTGAAGACTAAAGACGTAAATTTGAATAGGTACGTCACTTTTAAGGTGTAACAAATTTTCTAAGCATTTTTTGTCTCTTTGTTTGATACAGGTACTGAAAGGCAGGCACACGTGATGTTTTTTTATAAAAATATTCGTGAAGATGTGTGATCAGACCAATACACGAATATTATTTCAACTTTATTACTCTTTACACTTTACCGGCTGTCGTCCCTAAAGTCATGAATCAGGGGTCTCGGGGCCGTTCAAACATATTCAGCAGAAATACTGGCAGCTCGCCACCCTTTTCTTATTGTTGTTGTTGTTGTTGTTGTTGTTGTTTCTGTTGTTGTTGTTGTTTTCTTCTTCTTCTTCTTCTTCTTCTTCTTCTTCTTCTTCTTCTTCTTCTTCTTCTAATCCTAATTTATATTTATTTTTCATTTTCTTTTCATCATATTAACCTCTTATCTTTCTATTTATGCAAGCTTTACCCTTCTTTCCGTTAGAAAAATTCTTTTCCTCTTGTTATTCTTCTTTTAAATGTCCAATTGCTGTTTCGAAATCGCCCACATCACTCCTGGGCCCCGCTCTCTTCCAACTGTATTATCACATTGCTTACTTGGATTCTCTCATATATCCTATCTCGTTTCTACATAATATATACATCTTTTTTAAAATACGACTATCTTTTAAGATACAACTAACTGGTCCACTTTGTCCTCTTCATTATACGCTCACCTGGCCACTTCCATCCATATAATCTCTGATCCGGAGTCAGTGAGTCTGTTCATCTGGCAGAACATTGGCAGAACGGCATCCTTGTTAGCGCCGGACTCCAACACCCTGGACACGATGAGTTCATCCAACTGTCGGTCGTGGTCAAGGTTATCGTCCATGGCTCTGAGTGGAAAAGACGAGAAGTCATAATATATTATTATTTGAAATTATAATTTATGTCTACAGTAATTTATGTTGATTTAGTCTGTTTTTGTTTCCCTTTTTGTCTGTGTGTCTGTCTGCCTGTCTGTCTGTCTGTATGATTCTCTGTCTATCTGTCTGACTGTCTGTCTGTTGCTCTCAGTCTCAACCTCAAGTCCTTACCCATGCCACTTTGTCTGTCTGTCTGTCTGTCTATCTGTTTGTCTGTGTGTCTGTCTGCCTGTCTGTCTGTCTGTGTGTCTGTCTGCCTGTATGTTTCTCTGTCTGTCTGTCTGTCTGTCTGTCTGTCTGTCTGTCTGTCTGTCTGTCACTCTCTCTCTCTCTCTCTCTCTCTCTCTCTCTCTCTCTCTCTCCATCTCTCTCTCTCTCTTCTCTTTTCTCTCTCTCTCTTCTCTTCTCTTTCTCTCTCTCTCTTTCTCTCTCTCTCTCTCTCTCTCTCTCTCTCTCTCTCTCTCTCTCTCTCTCTCTCTCCATTCGTACAATATTTTGACTTACAGGCTGAACATTATATCCCCCAAAAATGTTGCAGTCTGTGTTCATACTAATTACTAAACCAAAGGTTACTAAGTGTGTGAAACAAACAGGCAGCAATCGGTTTCAACCAAATTTGTTTGTACATATCGATCTATATTATGCATAAACGATTCCATCAAGTCTGATTTATTTTCTGCCATACAACCAGCTCATTGCATCGAGGACAAAAACAAAAGGGGGTAGTATCATTTCTTTTATTTTCAGATAATATTAACAGTCACAGATTTCGCTGCGTCATCCAACTGGCACGATTAGAATATGGTAGGCCGTAATTACTGTTATTCTAAATAATGTATGTAGCTGCTGAAAAGTACACTGATGGAAACAATAGTCAATCAGCCCTTGAATGTAAGTGAGTAAACACAATATTACTATGCAGTAATTATAGCACGATAGCGTCAGCTTTTTATTATTTTTCCTCTTAACAGTCGATCTGTCTATCTGTCTTTTTGTGCGGATGTCTACGTCTGCGCCTATTGCTCTCTCTCTCTCTCTCTCTCTCTCTCTCTCTCTCTCTCTCTCTCTCTCTCTCTCTCTCTCTCTGTCCCTCACTCCCTCTCTCTCTTCCTCTCTCACTCACTCCCTTTCTCTCTTTTTCTCTTTCACTCAACTCTCTATGTCCCTCTCTATATAAAGAAGTAATTTGTTTATCAATGTTTGTGTTATCGAATTGTGTGTGGTTGTGTTTGTGTCTGTGAGTGTGTGTGTGTGTGTGTGTTTGTGTGTGTGAGTATGCTTATGGAGAGGGAGAAAGAGAGACAGACTGAGAGAGAGAGACAGAGAGGGAGAGAGAGAAAGACAGGGAAAGACCGAGAGAGAGAGAGAGAAAGAGAGAATATATATATATATATATATATATATATATATATATATATATATATATATATGTATATATACCGGTGTGTGTGTGTGTGTGTGTGTGTGTGTGTGTGTGTGTGTGTGTGTGACAAATGCGTTTTGGGTCCGTAAGTGGTGCTGTCGCGGTGGCTCCAGCTCTATGAAAAAGCCGCAAGAATGAGAGAGGCAGAGCAAGAATGGTAAGCCCAGTAGTCAATCTGGCGGGAGCAACGGAGACGCAGGCGAGATGAGTAACTCTAGAGAAAGAGGAAGA